ATGTCTGTGGTGAAGCAACGGAAAATCATGGCCGTATGGTTTTCCTGTTTGTAAAGCTGATTAATTAGGTCGTTATTTTTCAATTCTTGCCAATTAATGTAAATGTGTGATGTGTTAAACTTGATTCTGTTAATAAATGACCCACTCGTTTGGTGAGTCAAAGATAATTAACGTCTCACGTCCACATTTTATTAAATTCAATGCACGCATGTTATACAGTCCAGAAAAATGAAAGAACCCGTTTAATTTATGAATATATCTCAGGATATGTCATACTACAGTAACCATGGCAACAAGGCAGTTTTCTACAACCAACAGCAGCTGATTAACATCTCAAAAGCTCAAATAATATCTCAACTACAGCCCAAAATCTCAAATGAGTTGAAAGGATGTTCTGGGATGCATTCTCATCTACCTGCCAGCTGTGCTTGAGTGCCTGACCATTGAGATCCTGGAACTAGCGGCTCATGACAGCGGAAGGACAGGATTGTCCCTCAGCACCTACAGTTGGATGTCCGCAGCAACAAGGAGCTCGGCAGACTGCTGGGAGGAATGGCCATCGCTCTGGGGGGAGTTCTGCCTGGCATTCAGATGGTCCTACAGCCCGAGGGAACCGAGAGGCCAGCCGAGTCTGGGTGAACGGATCGGACGGCATCTGCAGCCAGTTTCTTAGGTTCCACTGTGGGATGGACCTTTACAAGAGATCCTTCCTGCCTACAGCCATCAGCATCTATAACATCTCTTAATGAAATGAGGATAACGAGTTACAACAACAATTAATTTCCCTTTGGGATTAATAAAGTATTTTTGAATTGAATTGAATAGCTAAATGTTAAAAGGAGCTTAGCAAGACAAAGATAAAATTCACAAAAAAGTAGCAATATGTGAAGAAAAAAAACAAATTCAAAAACTAAAATTAGCAAAAAAATAAAAATACTGAGCATAATGTTCTTTTCTGTATAACTGCAGCCCCTTCAGACAGAGTCCCTCCCATCATCCGCCAGGGACCAGCAAATCACACGCTCGCTCCTGGTTCCACTGCTCAGTTCCACTGCCACATCATGGGCAACCCATTTCCCAGCATTCAGTGGGAGAAGGATGGCCAGAGGATCCTAGAAAATGATGGTCGAATCAGCTTGATGGACAATGGCACCTTTCAGATCACCAGCCTACAGGTAAGACTGTCACTACTTCAGTGTGGCTTCATGCCTCAGCCTGTCCTTTAACATCATGACAATAAGTTTTCCTTAGAGGAACTAAACCACTTTTCACAAATGCTGAAAAAAAAACTATTTAAAACGATTTGCCATTATATTGTTGCCATTTTTGGCAGCCATGTTGAATTGTTGTTTTCAAATGTACGTTATGGTTATACATCTAATGATTACTTTCTGCAGGTTTCAGTTAAACCTGCCCACTGGTTCAGGGAATATTTTTCTGACAGTACAGGCAAACCATCACAAAAATAAATAAATTATAACTTATTTTATTTGTCTTTTGTGGAGGGCAAATAATTATGAAGCACTAAAAAGAGACAGTTTAACAGATGAGTCAAATTATACGAGGAGGAGAGGTGGAGTGGCGAGGTGTGATCACCATCATAATGGGGGTACAGGTACGTTAGCGGTCGTTAACACCAGCTGACACAATGTCAATTAAATATTCTGCCTAAAACTCCCTCCGGGTTTGAGGAAGCACCAGAGGTCACCACAGCCTCTGTGAGTTTCAAAGAGGGCAATGTGTCCCTGACTGTTGGTGGTCAATGATGAACGATGTCTGTGATAGTAATTAAATCCTCTTCCATCAGTGTGAATGAAGAATGAAGGACTGAAAGAGGGATGGGCAGACGTCCAATTTAGAGGAGAAAAATGGAGGAGTTTTTGTAGTCCCGCCTTCTGCCTGACTCACAACCCCCAACAGACCCGACAACAAACTACATGCTTGATGCTAGTTGCTCAAAAACTTTAATTTACTGTAAATTTTAATAAACACACGAGGCTCAAGAACAAAAAACTTTGTGTCAAATAAAGCAGAGTAATAATGTCTTATTGTTACACCAAATAATCTGAAGACAAAAAAATGTTTATCAGTAGCTATGTTTACATGCGCAACATTTTTTGACCGGATTGAAATGTTTTCAGATGAAATAATTCAAATGTATTGTTTACATGGGCACAATCTGTTCTTGATGAGCGTTTACATGCAGCGGGCTTTGTTCTGAACAGCAGTACTGACATGCGCAGAATGGTAAACTCTCCTTAAAAAAACACAGAAGAAGAAGTTCTACTTCCGGGGTGAACGTAAACAAACCTGAGCACCCAAAATGGACCCGCGACAGGTTTTAATGATGGTGGAGATGTTACCGCACTCCCTGACTGAGCTACAGGTAATACAGATCATTTTGAGCTCTTTCAAAGTTTCTAGTAGAAATGTTGTGTCGCTCACCGACCAGTTTTGCTTCCCTGACATGCTAATATTATTAGCATTAGCCAGGCGGAAATGGCAAAGTCGCACATGCGCAGTCAGGTCAGTTTTTCACGATCAGATAAAAACGAACAGATAAGCGTTTACATGCGCACCGATCAGGTTACGTATCGGCGTAAACCACCCGTTTCGTTCTGATCACAAATTATATCGGATCGCGCCAAATACACAAAAAACTAACCCGAACCGAGTGTTTACATGACACACTTTTATTCCGACCGGCCTTTTGATCCGGTTACTTATGTCCATGTAAACATACGACGGCTGGTATCAGTGGGCTAGGAGGGCTAAGCCCTCCCGCCTGGCATTTACAATGAAGATATTAAAATTAACAAATTAAAAATAATAACTTAAAAATAAATACATTTTAGAAATAATGTCACAGTTAATGTCACAGTTTGTTAAATTTACTACAATACTGGTGTCAAACCGCCTAGGGAAAATCCCAGGGTCGTTCCAAAGGGCTAAATTCTGACAGCCCCTTTCCGTTACTGTTCTGTCATGGTTCAGAATGATTGACAGATGTCTTGCCACGCCCCCTCGGTTTGTGGCTCATTGGGGATAATTTTTTTCAGCCCAGGGTCAGCCCACAGCCACAGGATTCATCCAATGAGGATGGGTGTACAATAATGTGCCTCAGCGCGAGTGGATGTGGGCGTGGTTTGGTGTAGACTGAGTAGACGCCATGGCAAACAATATTAGCATAAACAAGGTGGATTATTTAATCAATAATCCCTTTTCCTTAATGTCTATTGAGGAAAAACTGGAGGTGAAGAGGTTGGGGCCGGACAGACTTGAGGATATTCAAATCCAGCAAAGAGAAAACCATGCTGTGTAACCGTGCTGAACTTGACCAGACTATTAATTCAGCTCGGTCCAAATAATATCAACCTGCCAGTTCGTTTTTATTCTTCTTATAGTTCATTCTGCATTGTGTTTAATGATGACCAGAAGATGAGCATTGAACTGAATGCTGTTTAATCTGCATAAAAACAAAACGTGCACTAGTCAGAATAATCACAGCAGCACCTCATGCAGTCTTCTCATTGAATGGACCTGCTGTACAATTTGATTCAATTCAATTCAAAAATACTTTATTAATCCCAAAGGGAAATTATTATTTGTTGTAACTCGTTATAATACACCTGCAACAAACCCCTGTCTAAACGGGAGCTTATATACACACAAGAGAGTTCTTTAAATTATTTTTCAAAGGTTAGAAATATGATCAATTTGTAAACAACAGTAAAATAAAACTCACTCGGCCATGTCAGCACAGACGTGCAGGTGGGTGGGGCACGCTGTATATAATAAACAAAAATCAGCTGTTTCGACCAAAACTTCAAAATAATCTGCCACTCACACATGAAAATTAACACCAAACAAAACTGAATCATCTCACTGATTAGACTTTATGTAGGAAAATAGAGTCTCTGAAATAAATAAATTTCACCTATTTCTTACAAGGAAGAGAGATATGCTGGTGAAGATTCTCAGTCATCCAGGACATGATGAATTCAAAAAGCGTTCAATACAAAAACAACTGGACTTTATTTGTAACAGAAGACGTTTCGCTCCTCATCCGAGGAGCTTTCTCAATTCAAAGAGCAGAGAGTGAGAGATACAGGTTATAAGGCTGAGTGAGATAAGACACACACACACATAAGACACACACACACACATACTGTATATGTAGATTGGCAGTTCACACCTAAAAAAACCTAAACAGTAGGTCTTTGTTCCTCTAATTCACAATCAAGGCCCCTCTGTTCCCATCAGGTGTGAAAACCGGCTGGGGATCTGTTTTAAAGTTGCATTATATGTTTTTGAAAGTGGGAATCTGAGGCCTCCTCCTCTGTTAAGAGACAGTTTTTCTCTTTTTACATAAATTGCTTCCTTCACCCCCCTCTCAAACCATCTGTGTTCTCGGTCCAAAATGTGCACATTTTGGTCCTCAAAAGAGTGTCCCTTATCTGTGAGGTGGAGGTGAACTGCGGAATTTTGTCCAGAGGAGGTGGCTCTCCTGTGTTGAGTCATGCGTCTGTGAAGAGGCTGTTTAGTTTCTCCAATGTAGAGGTCTGGACAGTCCTCGCTGCAATGGACCGCATACACTACACCACTCTGTTTGTGTATGGGTGTCTTGTCCTTAGGGTGGACCAGCCTCTGTCTGAGAGTCCTGCTGGGTTTGAAATGTACTGGGATCTTGTGTTTGTTGAAGATCCTTCTTAATTTCTCTGATACTCCAGCAACATAAGGGATGACAATATTTTTACGTCTGTTGTTCTCCTTTTTCTGTTTATTGGTGTGTTTTGTAGATTTCCTCGCTGACTTGACAAAAGCCCAGTTAGGATATCCACATGTTTGAAGAGCTTCTTGAACGTGTTTCAGTTCCTTTTCCTTCCCTTCTGTCTTTGTGGGGACGCATTCGGCCCGATGTTGTAAAGTTCTGATGACAGAGAGTTTGTGTTCCAGTGGATGGTGGGAGTCAAACAGAAGATACTGGTCTGTGTGGGTTGGTTTCCTGTACACTTCAATGTTGAGACTGTCCTCTCTCTCCATCTGAACCAAACAGTCCAAAAAAGGCAGCTTGTTGTCGTTTGCATCCTCTCTGGTGAACTTGATGTTGTTATCGACCGAGTTAATGTGTCTGGTGAACGCTTCTATTTCCTTGGCTTGGATTTTGACCCAGGTGTCATCCACATAACAGAACCAATGGCTTGGCTTAGTTCCCTCATAGGAGTGTAGGGCTGTCTGTTCCACTTCCTCCATGTAGAGATTGGCAACAATGGGTGACACTGGAGATCCCATGGCACAGCCGTGCTTCTGTCTGTAAAAACTGTCATTGAACTTGAAATAAGCGGTGGAGAGGCAGAGATCCAACAGGGTGCAGATCTGGTCCGGGGTGAAGTTGGTCCTGTTGATTAAGTCCTTGTCTTGTAGAAGTTGTTTTCTGACGGTTTCTACTGCTTCAGAGATGGGTATGCATGTGAAAAGAGAAGTCACATCATACGATACAAGGGTTTCTCCTGGGGTTAGTTTCAAGTGTTGAACTTTGTTAGTAAAATCAATGGAGTTCTTTTGTTACAAAAGTCTTCTGTTACAAATAAAGTCCAGTTGTTTTTGTATTGAACGCTTTTTGAAAGGAAGAGAGATATGTGAATATCCATCCATCCATCCATTATCTTTACCCGTTTATTCCATTTTGGGTCACGGGGGTCGCCGGTGCCCATGTCCAGCAATCACTGTGCGAGGGGCGGGGTACACCCTGGACGGGTCGCAAGTCCATCACAGGGCCACATAGAGACAAACAACCATTCACTTTCTCACTCACACCTAGGGACAATTTTTTTAGAGTTACCAATCAGCCTAACATGCATGTTTTTGGTCTGTGGGAGGAAACCGGAGCACCCGGAGAAAACCCATGCATGCACGGAGAGAACATGCAAACTCCACCCAGAAAGGCCCCTGGACCGGGGTTTGAACCAAGGACCTGCTCACTGAGAGGCAGCAGCTCTACCAGTTGCGCCACCGTGCTGCCGATATGTGAATAATAAAAATAAAAAAATGTCCAATGAAAAGTCTGCAATTATGCACTCAAAAATATCAAGATACAAAAAAAATAAATTTGTTGGGGCCCTTTCATCAGTCTTGGTCTTTTAAAACAAAAAGAAAAAGATAAGGAAATGTGTCA